CGTTAGTGTTCAGCCCGCACTACCCCTGTCCGCAAAAGTACTTAGCCAGGCTGAGTCCGGAGTGCCAGGAATTAAGACTTCAGCGCGATGCCATTACTCACACTCGAGGAGTGATAACGCTCCCCTTACGCACTTTTTGCTTCAAGACCCAGGGGTAGCCTGTTTTATAGAGCTCCGGGTGAAGGCGACCCCGGTGTACTAAAAGAGGGTTTTTCAGATAATGACTCGAATTTTAGGATTTAATAAATAAAGTAACACAAAATTTAAATAAATCTTGAATAAGACCGGCGGGAAACTTCAACAGCCCGTGCACAGTCAGGGCACTCGAACCACCGTGGCGCCGATCCCTAGACTGTGCAACATGACCGAGGTCCGAAGAAAGGAGAGAAAAAAAATAGAGATCCCATAATGAGATACCAACGACCGCATTTTCCCTTTCAAAACAGACCTCCGGCCTACCACTATCGGGTGCCCGTGTCCGATGGTAAGGAGGGGGCTTATGACCCCCTTCAGGGGTGATAAGCTTCCTACCAATGCGGCCGCGGGTCGCCCTCCACTTTTGAGGTTCTGCTGCACGGCGCTCTGTCGAGTGTGACAGCCGCGGAATAGTAGTGAAAAGTCGGCCCACCTAGGCCACTAATTTAAACGGGCTCGAATTCGAACCGTTGGTGGGTCCTTCCCGCAACACGACTAAGGCTCAACAGCGCTTAAGCAGACGGCAGAACAAAATTATGTCATTAATAATAATAATAATAATAATAATAGTAATAACATCAATATGAAATGACGCGATATAGTGATTGGGACCGACAAATTTTTCCCTACTAAAGCACGTCGACCCAACTGCGGGCCTGGCCTCTAGCCCCCTTTTTATTTTCCTTTATTTTTCTTTTCTTCCCCCTTTTTGTTTTCTCTGCATAGTCTTCTCATTCCTGACAACGACTACATGTACCTGACCCATAACCTGTACAGGGGCGCTTGGAGCGTAGTTGAAAAGACTGAGTCAGTCTTCTCACCTCCGCGTTACAGGCCGGTTGTGCTCTGCTGTACAGCAGGGCGCCGAGCCTGCGTGGACCAATGGAAGGTCCTGTGGCGCACCCTTTTGTTAAAGGCAACGTCACAGGGACTGGTCCGCGTCGAGGCATAACCTGGATACCAGGAACAGCATGAGGTCCAGGACACGTCTATAGGCCGGAGCATCGGAGCGAGGACTGGTACCAAGCAGGGACTTGGTACCCAGAGGAGGGCCAGGATACCGCGCCCTCCGGCATCGGGCCTGCTATTCGCAGTTAGGGTAGCTGTAGGGAAGTCGGTTAGTTCCGGGCCTGCATTTTCCCGTATTTGCAGATATATCCCTCACGATTTCCCTCACAGGCAGGTCTCTCGATTAGCCCTCAGCCAAACAAAAATTACGAATTTGTCCTACCTATAGTACAGCCTCGACAGAGCGAGGCTACAGGCGACCAGAAAACAGCAAGTCATTGCACACACACGCACACACACACGCACACACACATGCACACACGCATGCACTCTCTCTCTCGCGCGCGCGTGCGCTGAGAGACAGACAGAGAGAGAGAGGGAGCGCACAGCTATGTTAGAGCTGCGCGGCTATGTGCGAGGTTTTTTTTTTTTTTTGAATCAATCAATCAATCAATCAATCAATCAATCAATCAATCAATCAATCAATCAACAATCAATCAATCAATCAATCAATCAATTTTCATTTCCTTATTTTGTTTTTTTTTCCCCGTTTTGATTATTTGTATTTTTCTTAAATATAAAAAATACCAAAAAATAAAATAAAAAATATGGGGGTGTAGAGCACGAAAAGCTCTGCATCCCCCTTTTTTTTCTTTTTCGTTTTTTTGGGCGGGGGGTTCGTCACTTTGTACGGGACCATTCATACGGCTGTACGACCAGGGGCCCCGGGCCCGTACGACGTACGGCGTGTTTCACATCGCCAGGCCATTGCACAAAGGTGGTTACAAGAGGATGTGAAGTGGCAATGAGAAATGGATGACTGGAGGGTTGACACAGGCGCTCAAGCGTTCAACCAATCAATCAGTCACTCACTCACTCACTCAATCAATCAATCAGCCAGCCAGCCAGCCAGCCAGCCAGCCAATCAATCGATCAATCAATCACTCGGTCAGTCAGTCAGTCAGGAAGACGAGGAAGCGGAGGAGGTGGAGGTCACGGTGCAAGACAAGGAGGATGAGGGAGAGAAAGATGAGGAGGAGGAAGCGGAGGAGGGGGAAGAGAGAATGGGTGGCATATGGGTCGGCATAAGTGGTGGGAAGATGGACACGAAGGTGTGAGACGAGGATGAGGGAGAGAAAGACGAGGAGTTGTAAGACGAACTCGAGGGGAAGGGGGAGGATGAGAGACCGGAGGAGGAGGTCCAAGAGGAAGCTGAGGGCGACCAGGAAGAATATGAAGGCGACAAAAGACTCCGAGAGAGAGAGAGAGAAAGAGAGAGAGAGAGAGAGAGAGAGAGAGAGAGAGAAAGGGAGAGAGAGAGAGAGAGAGAGAGAGAGAGAGAGAGAGAGAGAGAGAGAGAGAGAGAGAGAGAGAAGGAACACCATCCAGTCCACATGGTACCATCATTCACATTCTACCACGAGTCCACATGAGCTGTGTAGTCCCCCGTACGTCGTACATTGGTCCAATCATTGAAGATGAGGCAGTAGTCTCCGTTCATGTTCCCTTGGCCCCCCTTTTGTCTCCAACTCCACTCCACTCCACCTTCCCTATTTTTCCCCCTGGAGGCTTCCCCAGGGTGACTCTTCAGCCCTGCTACTGAGCACGTGAAGACTAGCCTGCTTTCCTGGTACCCCTCCCGGCCCTCCGACACCGACGTTTGTAGCTTGGATGAGCATATTGACATGCTTCACATTTGGGAACTTGCTGAGAATTCTCAGAAGGTATGGAAGACCGGATTGGACCCCTCTGCTGAGTCTGCTGCCAATTGCCAGACCCCTCCATTCTACCCTAAACCCTAAACCCTAAACCCTAGGTAACCTCCGACTTACTCTAAGACGTACCAGCTCAAATCTACCAGGCTCAGGGGATAGGAGGGGAACAGGTCAGGGAGATCTGAGAGGCGTTGCAGTCGCATTGAGGCGTCCAGCTTGGTCCAACCATTGAAGATGATGCCGCAGATGCGGTAGTTTCCGTTCACGTTCCTTGGTCGCCCCCCCTTGTCTCCCACTCCACTCCATTTCCCCCAGCCAAGCCAGCTGCTAGCCTGCTACTGAACTGTTGGATGATCTGGTGAATTTCGGGTTGAGAGTGGCGGAGATCGAGCTGTGTTTTCACCCTAACGGCCTAAGGCTTTCCCGTGTTTTGTAATCATGTCAGTTTGGATCTGTTGTTGGATGGTATCCATGAGTTCTGGGCTGTCCAACCGCACTCCTTCCATTTTGTGTGTGCAGCATCGCCACCAGACTGCCCCGAAGACAGCCCGACAGCCCGTCCGGGCGCGTCGGGCTGATTTAAACAGATTCATTTTGAAATCGCTGGGTTGGTCGGGGACTCGGGGTGCCAAGATCTGCAGAGCAGGGCCCGCCAATCCCACCACCTTGTATCTGACAATTAACAGACGAACGGCAGATTTCTTCAGAGACTGTGCCAACAAAAGGAAGAACACGAGGAGGTCCTCGTTCATTCTTTTCCTTTCTTTTCTTTTCTTTTCTTTTTTCTTGAGTTTTCTTTAACGTTTTATTACATTCTTCTAAACCACATATGTCTGGAGGCCGGATCTTTTGTACCTCCAATGGACCAATGGCAATAGTATGTCACTCATGTCACGCTGTACTAGGATTCTAAAGTAAACCCCCCCAAGGGTAGTGGGACCTCGCCCCCATTATTTGAAAATTAAAAAAAAAAAAAACGGAGATGTAAATTTTTCAGATGGGATGCTGAGCCCGGTTCCCAGCACATGTCGACGGTGACACGGTGTTGCTCCCCACGAATAGATCGGACCGATTTCCACTTAAGGGGGGGGCGGGGGGGGAGGGGTTTATGCTTGGCAGCTTGGGGCCTCACTCCACTACTCTCCACATGCACAAAAGTTGACAAAACACATCAAATATTTTATGTGTTACAGGTGTATCTTTCCATGTTCTGGCGGAAGATTCATTGCACATTCCGTGAGCAGTGGAGCGAGGGCCTTGGTCTTTTGGTTGGAGCTACTTTGGAGACTCTGGAGTATGAGAGTTTGATTTCGGAATAGAGTCCGTTTCTTCGTATGGATTCGAAGCCGAAGCAGAAGCTGCGGAACGACCGCAGGCCCGCAGGAACTTCTCCTGGAGGTAACTGATGGGACCCCGACCCAGATTTTGATGGAATATATTCAGTTTCTTTCAAAAAAAAGGAAAGAAAGAAAGGATTGGGTCCCACTGCCCTTTGCACACGCAAACAACTGGACACTAGAGCACACACTGAGAAAGAGGGCAGAGGAAAAGGAAAAGCAAATCGACGAGCCCACTCAAGGATTGCATCATTGCAGAGCAACAAGAGCCCCAGAGGAGACACCCCAGCAAAAGGAGAAGAAGAAAAAGAGCCAACTGAACACTTGCCTCTTCTTTTCTGTAAATGTCTGCCAAAGAAGAAGAAGAAGAAGAAGAAGCAGAAGCAGAAGCAGAAGAAGCAGAAGAAAAGGAGGGGAGGAGGGAAAGGAGGAGAAGGAGGAGAAGGAGGAGGGGGAGGAGGAAGACGAGGAGGGAAAAGAGGAAGAGGAGAAGGAGGGGGAGAGGGGGAGAGGGGGAGAGGGGGAGGGAAAGGAGAAGGAAGAAGGAGGGAGGAGGAGAAGAACGTAGGAGAAGGAAGGAAGAAGAGAAAGGAGAAGAAGGAAGGAGAAGATTCTGAAGCAAGAGGAAGAAGGAGATGAAGAAAAACAAGGAGCAGAAGAAGGACAAATCACCAAGAAGAAGACGAAGAATTGTGAAAGTGAGGCCACCACCTTTCGTGTATATACGCTGTACAGCGGTTTGAACTGTGCAGTATGGCTTCCCCGGACACATACATGATAGTCATCAACAGAGGTCATACAGCGCCAACTTTACGCAACATGTTTCGTCAAGACGTCAAGACTGTCTAGTACGCGCCAGCCTCCTTGTGCAGGGGGACTTGCCAAGTTGCCCTTACCCACAATCCTAACTTCCTAAGTCGTCCCTACCCACCGTAGTAGCATTCACTATCGAGCATCAGGGACTCAGGGAGAGTCGATCTGGCCTTGACGTCCTGGAAATATAGTAAACATCACCCTGCAGCTTGAAGATGAAGTCCGACAGTTATCTGACGGCTTGGAAGTTGGAACACCGCCATCGGCGCCATGCAGCTTGAAGAAGAATTACCCCACTCTCCCAACTCCACCACTCTCCCAACTCAGCCACGCACCTTGCCACGGCGTCACCATCCTGCAGCTTGAAGCAGAAGTGGGACAGCCGACTGACAGCTTGGAGCAAAAGAGAGAAACTCACCACCGTACACACTTCCGAGTCCCGACGCTCTTTTGATGGATGTGCTACGACTACGACCCAAGCACGACAACGTCCCTCGCTGACAATACACCCCGTGTGTGTGTGTGTTTCTGTATGTGTGTGATTGTGTACGTGCGTGTGTGTGTGTGTTAGAGAGCGAGAGCGTCTGAGAGCGTGAGACAGGGAGAGAGAGCGTGAGAGAGAGAGAGAGAGCGTGAGAGAGAGAGAGAGAGAGAGAGAGAGAGAGAGAGAGAGAGAGAGAGCGTTTCAATGTGTAGGTGTTTAAATGAATGCCTCACGGACAGCACAGACATCGTCCACGTGGAGGCAGGGACGAGCCAACAGCCACACAAAGACTTTCCAGGATGCATCTGAGCGCAAATGCTTCCTGATTCACGGGTGCAAGTTGTAGCGTGACTCCGTGAGGGCATACTCGCACTGGCACTTTACGGCCAGACCTAGATGCATCTGACCGTAATCACGTCCAGAGCAAAGTCCAAAAAGTCCTAGTGTGAGTAATAAGTATGAACTTAGACACCACGTTGGAAAGGTTTGGCGAACGACTTTCCTGAATGCACCCGACTGCAAATGCTGCATGATTCACTCCCGCAAATTTTAGTGTGAGAATGTCCTGAACGCACCTGACCGCAAATGCAGCTGGATTCACTCCCTAGAGTTCTCGTGTGACTACGCCCTTGTGACTTGTCCACCTCCGCAGACCGTCTGCCGAACAACCTCGGCCTATCTTCGGGCTTCCCTGGACGTACCTGACCGCAATTACGGCCTGATTCGCTCTGTCGACTTCTAGTGTGAACAATGCCCTTACCCCTTAGCCACCAGTGTAGACGGTCCTGCCGAACAACCTTCCTTCGCGTATTTCGGATCTCTCTCTCCTCCACGCGCGTGGTCGCAAAATCCCGCCTGATTCATTCCCTCCAGTTCTACTGTGAGACGGCACCCTCCTCCTTAGCCACCCACGTAGACAGTCCTGTCAAATAGCCTTCTTTAGCCCATTTCTGGCCTTTCCTGGACGCACCTTACCGCATATCCAGCCGGATTCACTCCCTCCAGTTTTAGTGTGAAAACCCCCTCCTCCTTGGTCTTGGTCCCCCGCGTAGACAGTCTTGTCAAACAACCTTCTTCTTCTTTAGCGCATTTGTCGCAAATTCTGTTGGAAAGCGAGGTTGACCTATATAGTCATATGTAATATGTATATATAATATATAATATATCATATATATCGTCACAAACAGAACTGCCCAGTAAAACCGTAGGCAGAGAGAGAGAAGAGGACAACAAACGAGGGGCTGTGACAAACTGTTTCGTCGGAGTTTCACCGACCGTCACAAACAGAACTGCCCAGTAAAACCGTAGGCAGAGAGAGAGAAGAGGACAACAAACGAGGGGCTGTGACAAACTGTTTCGTCGGAGTTTCACCGACTCATCAGGAGGCTGAACCCTCAACAGTCTGCAGAATCCCCTCACTGATTACACTGTAAATGATAATCTACCTTAACCAAAATCAAAGTAGACTATCGCTCACCCACACCAGATGGAAAACTCTACAGACTGTCGGTTCACACCCCATCACAAGCCAGCAAAACATCCACGAAACAAAGAAAGGTTTGTCACAGCCAAAAAATACACTCCAGACACGCCGCTGGCACTAGAGGCACAGCATGGCCGCCTAGTAACGGCCCCGACCACTGCCGCTCGACCTGACCGGAAAAAACCGTAGCAGGAAGCTAGCGAAGTCGTAGTATATATCGTCACAAACAGAACTGCCCGGTAAAACCGTAGGCAGAGAGAGAGAAGAGGACAACAAACGAGGGGTATATATATACAGCCTCCTGATGGGTGGGTGAAACTCCGACGGAACATTTTGTCACAGCCCCTTGTTTGTTGTCCTCTTCCCCCCTCTCTGCCTACGGCACACCGGGCAGTTCTCTATATAACGATATATATCTACATATATACATCACATATATATTATCGTCAAACAGAACTGCCCGGTAAACCGTAGGCCGAGACGGAGAAGAGGACAACAAATGAGGGCCTGTGATCTATCTATCTATCTATCTATCTATCTATCTATCTATCTATCTATCTATCTATCTATCTATCTATCTATAGAGAGAGAGAGAGAGAGTACACGCTAATTCTTTTTTTTTTTTTTGGTAACACGCTAATTCTGAGAGGAGGTCAACCCCCCAAAGACCCAAAAAAAAAAAAAAAAAAGTGCGCTCCTCAGCCACCACCCGCAAAGACAGTCTTACCGAACAATATTTTGCGTATTTCTGGTAGATTCTGTTTGAATGCGATATTAAGCCTTGCATCCAGCGTGTTGCTGCATACAATTCGCCAGTCCTTTGACCCCATAACGACCCCTCCAGAGCAATACCCCCCCCCTCCCCCTCCTCCTCCTCCTCCTCCTCCTCCTCCTCCTCCCCAACTCCCCTCCGCCTCGTTAGGATTCGGAGTGGGCGGCGGCGCGAGGTAGTTCCGCGTGTCGATTACCACACTGGGTCTCGATGCCGACGCCGTCTTCGTCATATACTCGTCTATGGCTGTGTCCAGAACTTCCCCCACTAATTTCAAATCCCCTTGTCGACACCTCAACGCTACTGCTGGCTCTCTCAGTCTCATCAAGCTCTGTACCAAGATCCCCCTCAGTATTACTCTATAAGCTGTGATGTTCGCGGATATGGAGGCCAACTGCTTCTCCGCCTTCGTCTTCACCGCGCGCACTATGTCGTCTTGCGCTTGCAGAATTTTCAGCCGCGATGCATTCAGTTGATTAGAGTATTCGATTCTCTTCTTGGTCTCGATCTGCTTCTCTTTCCGTTCATACTCTTTGCGGATGCGTTGCTTCTCTGCCTCCAGCAGCTGAAGCTTCTCGATGCTGAACTCCTCCTCCGCGGATATGGCGATCTCCTTCGCCTTCTCTTCGGCTTCTTGCCGGATGAACTCGACCATCTGCTGAACACGAGCCGATACCTCTGCGTCGTTCATCTTTTTTTTTTTTTTTTTTTTTTTTCCTCTTTGAAGGACGAAAAGAAATCCTCTAATAATAATTAAAAAAAAAAAAAAGAAGAAGAAGAGAGTCCCTTTCCTCACTCCCAGTCGCGTCACTGGACCGACGATTGTTTTTAATCTGTGGGCCCCCCCCGCCTCTCCCTTCACTTGCACTTTCTCTTCCGCAATCTCCTCGATTTGGGGGGTAGAAGGGGGGGAAGGGGGGTGAAAGAGGGGTGTTTTTTTTTTTTTTTTTTTTTTTTTTTAAGAAGGGTGTGGSGGRGGTGTTGGGGRGGGGTTGAGGAGGGRGGSGGSGGGGGGGAGGAGTGCCAAGTCTTTTCAACCAAGCACTTTTTTTTTTGTTTTTCCGTTCCTCTTACGCGCCTGATTCTCTCATCACCTCACTCTTTTCGCATGAACGTTCATCTGATTCTTCACCTGATTGTTCATCGCCCGCTTCTTTGGCAAAAAAAATTCTTCAAATGGAATCTTCACTCGATTGTTCCACACTCGATCATTCTTGATTGTACACGTGGCACTCTCGACGTAATCGTCGACATCCTCTCTTCATCCGAAGCTTCTGCAAGAAAACGTTTTCCTCAAAAAAAAAAAAAAAAAAAAACCTTCCAGGTGCAGTTACTTCCATTTCGCCTCCACCTGGATTCTCATCCTCTTTCTTCACCTCTTGTTTGTCTGATTCTTCCTCGGATAAATAACCCTCCTCCGATCCTTCGCCCGAAACTTCACCTGACACTTCATGTGACACTTCATGTGACACTTCATGTGACACTTCATGTGACACTTCGTCCCACGTGTGTTCGCCACGTGTCTTCGCTTCAGTCTTCGTCTTCACTTCATTCTACTTGATTAGCCCACGTGGTGCTACCTTCTTCCCCCGATTACAACGCGCGGTAATTACAGCTGCATTTGGCGTGTGTCAAAGCAAAAAAAAAAAAAAAAAAAAAAAAAAAACAGAGAAAATGAAGGCTGGTCAATCGCTGGGGTCAAAAAAGAAAGACACGCCAAGCCCGAAGCCACCGACAGGCACAGAAAGCGAGGGCTGGTCCTTAAGCGAGGGGGTCAAAGAAATCCAAGAAGAAAAAGGTGAGAAATGGGAAGTCAACGCCTTAAGGACAAAACAAAACAAAAGTCAACGGTAGCTCAACACCCGCCATGTTCATGGAACAAAAAACCGTTCGCGAGGTGGGGACCCGTCCACTTTAACGTACTCGGGACTGAATCTGACCGCAACTGCGCGGGCAGAGACATCCGCTAAAAAAAAGTGCCCATGCTGTCCAACAACCTAGCATACTCGCGACTGAATCTGGCCGCAAATGCGCGGGCAGAAACATCCGCAAGAAAAAAGTGCCCATGCTGTCCAACAACTTAGCATACTCGCGACTGAATCTGACTGCAACTGCGCGGGCAGAGACATCCGCAAGAAAAAAGTGCCCATGCTGAGCGCCGCGGGGAGATACAGGCTTCCCCCGAATACAACGTACGGTCGTTATAACTGAATTTGGTGGTGTTGAGCGCTACCGTGTCGGGCCGCTACCATAGCCTACCATAGCCTTCTTTTTTTTCTTTTTTTTTTTTAAAGGCTACATAGCCTTCTTGCTATTCGAGTACAATACGCATGCGTTCTATTCGAACAGACGGTATATTCATATAAGGCGCATACGTTCTATTCGAATCATCTAGATATGCCTTATGTTGGGGGGAAGATGGTAGCCATAACTGCCTGAGGCACCAAGCAGCCGTGGCGGGGTGACTGTCCGATTCCTTTATCTTCTTTTTCTTTTTTGGGGATAATTTGGAAACTAGCCCTGTGAGTTGAGGTACATACCAAAATGCCCCTGCAGGGTGAGGGTAGAGCAGAATGCCCTTTTGGGCCGATTGTTTTGTGTCATGCCCCTGTCAGGCAGGTATGCAAATTTGCAATCTGGACCACCCCCCTTTGGGCTTTTGCAATCAGGGCTTGAAAACTACGCCAGGGGTATTTCAGAATTTTTTTATTTTTATTTTTTTCCAGAGGGGCAAACAGCTCTATTCACATCTTTTAGGGACATTTTGGCATATTCTCAACTTTTTTTTTTTTTTTTTTTTTTTTTTTAACACTTCCCTGCAATGCCAAAGGTGCTGATAAGAGCAGACACACATTGACTTACCATGAGGGCAAGGGTGCGCAGCCTGTAGTTTGTTTCATTTTGGCTGTGGTGAGGCCCTCTGTGTGTGTGTGTGTGTGTGTGTGTGTGTGTGTGTGTGTGAGAGAGAGAGAGAGAGAGAGAGAGAGAGAGAGAGCATCTCTGTTTCTGAATCTGGCTCAGAACTGCTTCCAGATTCAGACAAAATCATCCAGAACAG